TAGTCGTGAATAAAACATCTAATTAATTGTCTTTTTATATTTTTCACCCTCTCCTAAAGGATTCATGTATAACAATTTTAGGTTAGATTCTGTAACATTTATAACCTTTTTATTTTTCAAAAACAAAGAAAATCATTACATAATCACACAATATAGACATTTTACAATTATAACTAAAGACAGTCAAGCTTAAAACATGTAAGTTCCGTTTTGGAACTCACCTTGGGAGGATTGCAGAGAGTCCAACAATACAAGAAATTTGTTTTAGTGTTTTTTCCAGACTTTATCTAAGTGGTAGGGGCTATGTCGTAAAGTACAAAGTAGACTCAATACAATGTATATATATATATATATATATATATATATATATATATATATATATATATATATATATATATATATATATATATATATATATATACATATATACATATATTCATGTATACATATACACATATATATGTATAAATTATATATATATATATATATATATATATATATATATATATATATATATATATATATATATATATATATATATATATATATATAAAGTTGCATAACATTAAATAGGTAACAATTATTTTGGTATGTTATTGTTTGGACTTAATATAAGAATATATAAAACATTTTCATCATTTAAAAATCTAGCCATTTTATTTAAGTTTTGTGCAAAAAAGTGAAACACGTATTAAAAACAGATATGCCTACGTATTTAAAGTAATATAAGACTTTTTAATTAATTATTAAATGTTTAGTTATTCAATATATCCCCCCCCCCCCTCCCCACCCCCCTTTCCTAGAACGAAACATCACGGCGCGCTCTATTTATAGAAGATTAAAACCATTAAATCTGTTTATTTCCCTAACTCAACACAATTCTTGTTATAAAAAAATTAAAAAAAAAACTCCTCATTAACGCTTACATAAGGATATTATTTCACCCCCCCCTCTAACCCCCTTTCACGTTTTTCCCCCACCCCACCCCACCAAATCGCTCATCCATCCATTTCATAATATCAGGTTCTACCCCCCGGCTAGCTTCAGATAATAAAGAAGACATTTCGACCAGCCAATTTGCATTATTAATTAGCCCCGCCAGCGAGAGCCGTGCCATTTATCTCTGATGCCTGTATCAATTGGCCCCCGGTTCTTCACGATTATTTCGACATTGACAGTATTGTTTTGTTGTGATAGACAGCTATGACGTAATAAATTATTTTTAAAAAAAAACAACTCTTTTTGGATATACGTCAGTTAATTAGACGACAGACACTGTGAAATCGTATAGGGGAAAATTGAAACGTATTCTATTACGTCGAATTTGTAGTTCTGAACGCCCTAACTCTGGGGTCGGCAACCTGCGGCTCGCGAGCCGCAAGCGGCTCTTTTGATGTCAAGATGCGGCTCGCCAGTTCCACAATAATTATTTTATTTTCATAACTTATAAAAACAACTTTAAACAAGATAAAAACACTAAGAATTGGTGGAGTAAAGCGTATACAGACAGCTTCTTAGGCACAATGCCTAACCCCACAACTGTGATGTGGTCAGCTCCGTGGCAGTGGTTCCATGCTTTCCACTACCAAAGTGCACAATTTATTTTATTTTTTGAATATTTTCAATAGTATTTGTTATTTTATTCAGAAGGCATTTTTGTGTGTGTCAGTGTGCATTAATTTGACTTAAGTGTAATCGTTAATTAGTTATTAGCTTCTAAATTGGGTAGGGATAGTAATATAGTTATACGTTATTCTGTTTTGTGCGAAACATGCGTATTCTTTAAAATGAATACATAGTATTTTATACTTAAACCAATTTATTTTAAATTTATTTGCCTAATCCTAATCAAATACAATAATATTGTTAAGGGCTCTTTAAAAACTGGGAAATATTGTAAATTTTAACTTTTTGCTCTTCTGCCTCTAAAGGTTGCCGACCCCTGACCTAACTGCATGCCTACAAAACCCGCTCACACACACATACACACATACATACACACACATGCCAGTAGAACTTGCATACATGATGAACCAGACTGCATGTTCAAGTTAGGATACATATACATACATATATATATATATATATATATATATATATATATATATATATATATATATATATATATATATATATATATATATATATATATATATATTATATATATAATTATAAAATCATTATTGACCGCCCATCATTACATACCAAACATGACCATATAACAATGCGACAGATCATTAGAAATGTCGTTTTGGTTAGGTCGTGTTAACGTGCGAAAGTGCCAACTTCACATCATCAACTTTCATTACCCTTGAACATTACAATACATTTTTAAAAACTCGAAACAAAAAAACCCATTGAAATCATTGTTTTATTATACCGCTAAAGCTAGTGATTCGATTAACGCTAGGTCTAAGCTCATGTATAGGTTGGTCTGCTATACCCTTCAAACAAAACCACCGACATCCCCCCCCCCATCTTAAACGTGCGTCAATACCACCATGTCCTACCTAAGCAGCTTGCTCTAACCATGTTTTACATTACCTCTAAGTTATGACGTGCATCGCTGTGACGAAAATAGATTCGGAGTGCACCTGGCTGACCCCATGACAAGAGTAGCAACAAAACCCGTTAACCGCCGCACACAACTGCTAGAGACCAAACACCATCTGGCATTAACTACTCTCTACTGTAAACAGCAATTGTCTACTGCAAATTGTTTACCTAGTATGTCGAGGTAATATACACAAACAGTAAAGTCGACTAATGTAATATGTACAACAAAAACCATTTTAATAAAGCACATTTTTTGTCAATCATTTAGGAATAAAGCTTTTGTCTACATTATTTATCTAATTAGATATTTGAAATAGGTAGAAACATGTCAATAAACGCATGTTAGAACACATCATACACCAGAAATATAAGAATTTTAAAAACAGAACAATTTTTTTTCATTTTAACGCAAGTTTCACAAATCTTTTATGTGAAGTCACTAAAGTGGGACAATGACATACTTAAACTACAGTTTTGTAAAAGCATTGAATTTAATGAGGTTCGAGCCACTTCGTATTATTCAATTCCGGGTTAAATAATTTTCTAATGTCAAATATGATACTGCGGCTTGTGGGTTGAAAAATATCCGATAGCTCATACAATAGTCATTAATTTTATGTTAGTACGTAATTTAATCTCTAATTAAAAGCTATAAATAAAATAAAATCCAGTGGTTTTTTTTTAATGAAGGCCTACACATTTTAGTTCACAAAAAATATCAATTTAAGTGATATTTTAACCCATATCCCGCTAGCTTATGTAAAAATTAAAAAAAATAAAAACTATTTTAAAAAAGCTAACATTTAGTAACAATTATTTTAAATACAAATTATGTTTCCGTCGTATTTGGAAATGTTAAGGTTATTGTAAAATGTAATTAGAAAGTATGTTTTTTTTTTTTGTTTAACACTCAAGACTTTTTCAAAACTTTTAGAAAATAATACTTTTTAACTACATATCTTTTTGCCTGCATCAGCCTTGGAAAAAAATAATTTCTTGAAAATTTTGTTTTTATTTTAGACGCGAGCATATGTTAGACGAAGTTTTCACGCATGAAATATTTTTACGAGCGTGTTTAAAATATGATACTTAAGTAGCCAAAAAAAAAATTGAAAATAACTGAATGTACATACTTTCAATATTTTCATATTTTTCCCTTTAGTTTATCTTAAGTGTAGTTCTGAGGTTTTTGTTAAGGGTGGGTATATGTAGGCCGAATAGAAAAGGGAACTTTGTCCAAGGCTATTATGTCGTGGGGTTGGGGCTTATGTTTAGGTATTGCTGGGTCTGGGGATAGGAATAATTTATCTTTGTAAAATTTAAAGTGATATGATGGAAATAAATCGAGGGTGATCTCCCTTAAATTTTCTCGAATATTCCTGTATAACACTAAGGGGGATGGCAACTCGGGACATGGACATGATTTTTAATCCATTTGCAATTACTTAAACTTTTAAAAATAGTAGAAATCTCGTAGAAAAAAAATGGCGTTCCAAGTTAACAGCGAACAATGTGTGTATAATAGTGCGATATATTATTAGTACTTTATAAACTCATATTCGTTTTTTTTAGAAAACGGAAATAGCGTAAAATACTATTTCCGTTGAACGGAAATTACTCAAAATTTGACAGAAGGCAGAAAATTAAATCTTTTACTCACGTGTGAAATTTCATTTATCTATCAGAAACAGTACTCAAGTTATAGAAAGTAAAAATAATATGTGCAGGTAATTGCATACGTACATGCGTGTGCAATAGGTTGTGTGGCTGTGCGTATAGCTAAGTGAGAGGGTTAGTGTCTGTGTGTGTGTGTGTAATTGTGGGCTATGTGAAGCTGTTTGTGTGTGTTTATGAAAGTGTATGTGTGTGACCGCGTGTGTAACTGTATGTGGATGTGGCTCTGTGTTGGCTGTGTATATGTAGCTGTGTATGTGTGGCTGTGTATGTGTGGCTGTGTACTTGTGTGTGTTAGTGTGTATGTGTATGTGTGTATCTCTGTATGTGTTACCGAGCTGCTGTGTATGAGTGTGCGAGGGTGAAAGTGTGGGTGTGCGTTAGCTGTGTATGTGTGTGCCCTCTTCTTCTTCGTTCTTAATTAGTATATGATGGAGGATTTAAACAGAAAGCCCAACTTCGTAGTTGTGTGTGTCTAGGAGCGTGGCTTTGTATGCGTATGTGTATAACCGAGCGGGTCGTTGTGAATCTGTGTGTGGTTGAGTATGTGTGTAACTGTCAAACCGTGTACCATTATCCAGACAGTATTTACACGTCCGTGCTATGCTTGACATGCACGTGACTTATGTAGGTCAGTGTGTGACGACAAATCCCTGTGACGTCTCTCACAAATAAATCGCGAGTAAAATATCACACCGACATTTGAGATCTAAGGTTGATTTTTATGTGTCAACAAAATCACATGTTTCACGACAACAACTTATAGAATATTATGGTTTATCATCGTCATCATCAACATTATCATCTTTAACATCATCATCACCATCATCATCATCATCATCATCATCGTCGTCGTCATCGTCAAAGTCTTTATTATCATCATTGTCATCATCATCATCATCATCATCAAAATCATCATCATCACCATCATTATCATCATCATCATCATCGTCGTCGTCATCGTCAAAGTCTTTATTATCATCATGTCATCATCATCAACATCATCATCATCATCATCATCGTCATCATCATCATCATCATCATCATCGTCATCATCACCATCATCATCGTCATCATCATCATCATCACCATCAGCATCAACATCATCATCGTCATCGTCATCATCATCATCATCATCATCATCATCATCATCATCATCATCATCATCATCATCATCATCATCATCATCATCATCATCATCATCATCATCACCATCATCATCATCATCATCATCATCATCATCGTCGTCGTCGTCGTCATCATCATCATCATCACCATCATCATTATCATCATCATCATTATCATCATCATCATTATAATCATTATCATCGTCATCGTCGTCATCATCACCATCATCATCATCATCGTCGTCATCATCATCATCATCACCATCATCATTATTATCACCATCATCATCATCGTCCTCATCATTACATCGTCGTCATCATTACCATCACTACTGTGGACCCTACAGTAGCATAGTGACGCAACCACACCTTCCCATTGTTATTGGTTCTAGACGATTCCTCCAAGTTGGGCCCACGTCATTCCGATTGCTTCTGCTGCTCATACAGCTGACATTTTCCAAGTTTGTTTTGTCTACCTACATTCCTCTTTCCTCACACTGCGTTAACACTTGCGACATGTATATTGTTTACGTATTTTTTTAAAAAATATATCTTCTCAATAAGTGAATAGGCCCACCTTTACATGTTCTCAAAAAAATTAATTTACGGAGATGTTTTTTTTTAGACGTGTATATTATAGTGTCGCAAGTATAAATGCGGTGTTATAGATTCCAATTTAGTGCCTGTCTAATAATGATGCAGGTTGGTTTACGCAAAGTGTGTCAAATAGAGAAATATGCACAACCGAAATAAGCAGAAACTCAATTCCATGCAATGCTAGGTATTAGATACAGCTGAATCGTGAGCTTCGATATAGAGCGCTGCCCAAAACAAAGTTCCGGTTCGGCTGCAGCTTAAAGGAATAACACATAGCACATTGCACATAACACATAAATCATAACACATAACGCATAAGACATAAGACATAACACATAAAACATTACACAGTAACCGCTGGAGAGACTCTATATATAGGTAAATCAACTAATCAAATAATCATTATACTTATTTATTTTCTCGACGTTTCTGCAGTACCTGTATGACCTTCAGAGTAGCGGATACCTGGACAAGTACGTCTAGGAGATGCACCAAACTACCTTGTGACCTACATATCTGAGATAAACTCAGAGGTCAACGATATCTGTTCAGGTACAGATATCTTAAACACGCCCATACTCTTCGTGTTTCGCTTGAAGCCAGCTTGATATATATAGAGATTGGGAATTCCCGTAGTGGGGAAGTAGTCATCATTTGAAATTATATACGTTTTAGAGAAACACACGCATACATAGTGCTATTTTATCACAGGAACGATGTGAATAAATTTAAATATAAACTATATAATTCAAATCACTGAAATAAATTGCAAATTATATATATATATATATATATATATATATATATATATATATATATATATATATATATATATATATATATATTAAAGTGTAGTATTTTTTTATGAATCTAAATTAGGGTACTTAATATAAAATATACTTGCTATGGCAACGGGGGACATTTTTTTTTAAAATAGAACCTTTTGTGGAGGTCTAAATGTTTATATATTGATCATATATTCATCGATACTACTTTTACTAGCTTTGATAGAGTCAGTGGCTAGTTTTTGTAACAGAAAATACTCTAGAAATATTTTTTTCAATTTTGTTTTAGTTTGGTATGGTGAAATACCATTAAAATTAGTTTCTAAATGTAATGGGATTTCACCATACCAAATTTTGAAAATTCAAAAAAATAAACAAATATGTCTTGAGTGTTTTTAGTTACAAAAAAACTAGCAAATTGACTCTGTTAGAGAGCTTTTTTTTAATTTGTTTTTTTTTTCCGGAGACAAGCCCCTATAGGACAATGTGCAGCTCTGCAGCAGGTTTGTTTGGATTTTGTAACAAATGTGCTGAATCGCACATTTTGTTTAACATTGTTACAACGTGGCTGATATATGCTGATGTCTGATTTTTTTAGGAAAGATAATTAAATTAGAATTAATTACGATAAAAATTATGTATTAATTGAAAATCGGAATAGATTTGTCAATTGAATTAAAGTTTTAAATCCATCAAAAAAAAATATTGGCTAAAAAGCTCAATTTCATCTCTATGTGACGCAAAAAAAATAATTCATTAGTGTAAAATACAATTTAGAGAACTAAACGAATGAATAGGGGAGGGTGCACATAAGTGTGTGTGTGTGTGGGGGGGGGGATTTATGAGGTGGAGGGTGAGGAAGCAGGAGGTAATTATGGCTACGTGATTTAATTGCCTTAAAAATTGGTGTTAATTTTGTGAAAAACAGTGTCCCCCATATATCAAAACATCTCTCTAATATAACAAAACGCGTCCCTGATATAATAAAACACCTCCTTGATAAAAAAAAAACACATCCAGCAGCTAACAAAACACCTCTTTATTAAACAAAACACCTACCTAATATAACAAAACACCTCTTTATTAAACAAAACACCTACCTAATATAACAAAACACCTCTTTATTAAATAAAACACGTACCTAATATAACAAAAGACCTCCTTCATTTAACAAAAGACCTCCCTCATATAACAAAACGTCCATGATATAACAAAGTACCTCCTAATATAACAAAATACCTCCCTGATGTAAAAAAAAAACCACCTCTCTGAAATAACAAAACACCTCCCTGATATATAAAAAAATCACCTTCCTGATAAAACAGAACGCCTATCAGTGCAAACAAATTGCTGGTTTTAATTTTCACTGAAATTATGTGCTGCAAGCCTGATCTCTGACACTGAGACGTATGGATTCACTGATATATGTCATTAATGACAATGAGCCTATATACATAACATATCCCCCCCCCCCCCCACCGCTACTGTCAGGCTTTAATCGCTACTCCTGCGAGTACTCTCATTATTTCTATCTCGTGTCTCGCCCTAATCAAACCGCATCCCTTACTTTACCCCTCCCCCCTCATCAACTTTCTAATATCGCTCAACCCTTGTTATATATATATATATATATATATATATATATATATATATATATATATATATATAGATATATATATATATATATATATATATATATATATATATACAGATATATATATATACATAGATATATACATAGATATATATATATCTTCAATTTCATAGATGTGTTAATCTATATTATTTAAATTATTGCTCAGTATTTTCTTAATTCAGCTTGAATTACCATAAGCTAAGTTGAAACTAAAACTGTTTGATTTAAATGCAGTTGACGCAATTGACTTTTAGATCCACATTTATTTTAATAACATCGTACATGATTTTTAAAATATTTATTGGGCTTTTCGGATAATTTCGAGTCTATCGGTTGAGTTTATTACCTCAACATATAGACTTGAACTATTTTCTCTAGATCTATATTTTTGTCTTTACTTTTTCTGGGGTTTTTTTTTCAGTCAATTATAAAAACGAATTGTGTAGGCCTATTTGCGACAGTTAGCCATCAAATATTAATGAATCGTTCCCTATTTATATTAAAATTATGTTAATACCGTTGAAAGTTTTGTATATGAACTTAAAAAAAATTATTAATTTATACTCTAAAAATGATCTTATTTTTACAACACCGTGATATATAAAATACTTATATATTTAAATAACAATAAATAATAACCATCTTTTTTTATTTGTTTAAGCTGAATTTATTTATTTTTTTAAATCCGTTTTTTAATTACATTATAAAGGCTATTTCCCCTGTTCTTCTCAAAATATCGCATGGGAGGTAACTTTATATTCAATTACGAATTTTTGTTTTTTAAACATTAAAATGTATGTGTATATATATATATATATATATATATATATATATATATATATATATATATATAAAGCCATCCATCCATCCATATATCTAGCTGTTTCGGCATCTAATTAGCATACTCACATTCAAAACAAAACAGTTCGGCAAGCAAGATAAAATAAACGAGATTATCTTGATACAAGCAGGCAATGGAGCCTTAACCAGATTATTTCGATACAAGGCGACTAGATAATCGAACCGATATTAACCTGATACAAGATGGAAAGATAACCTAAACCAGATTAACTTGATACTAGACATTTAACCTATGACCATCACCGCATTTGGGTCAAAGACAAAAGGCCGACATCCCAAAGGCCTACAAGACAAAAGGCCAACACGGACAGAAAGCCGACATGGATAAAAGGCCGACAGCCAAAAAGCCGATAGGACATAAGGCCGACAGACTAGAAAGCCGACAGCCAAAAGGAAGACAGCCAAATGGCCGACAGACCATAAGGCCGACAAACGATAAGGCCGACAAACAAAAAATACCCCACTACATACACATACACTCCCACACCTTACTTACCATGTTAAATTAACCTATACTTAACATAAGCTACTCGTCCTCACTGATAGATCGAGTAGTAACTTAATGTGTGTATTGTATGAAAGGTTTAATTTACATATACAACTACCCGTATGCGCAGCCACTTATAGATTGTGTAGCAACAGGGGAAGTCACTCACTAGAAAAGGGATACAACTCACACTACCAATAACAACGTTTCTAGCTTTATCTTCTTCAAGAAAAATAAGAATCTGATTACATCACACAATGCGGGAGTTCCACGCCACACCGGCAGCAGTGGCTAGCATTATGCATGCGTTCATCTTGCAGTTGTAGAGTACAGCTTAATGACTGCGCGGACGTACAGTACAAGTGATTCGAGTAT